ACCGTCTACACTGTTGCACGATATCGGCAGCTTCGTCCGGGGAAATACCACGACCTCACACAAGACCGGCGTGAAGTAGAAGTATTATACTTCTACATTTCGTCTGGTGAGTGGGGTAGCCGGGGCCCACTTTATTAAAGGTGCCAACCCATATGCAACCCTACGGGTGTAGCAAATGTCCATGGGCGGCAGTTAACGCTTACTCTCTCACTTACTCTCACTTACTCGCTGCCACCTTCTTACATGAAGAAAAACCAGATGAAATCAAAATATAATGAGTCTAATGTACTCATATACTAATGTCTAATATAATAACTTACCATTAATCGAGTTACACGGATGGAATCGTGTTAACAAAAGATAATATATTCAAAGGTGAATTGCGGAGCAAACGAATCACCTTGATTAGATTTCTACTTTTTGAATACTCCAGAGTTGAATTTGATTATTCTCTAATATAAAAACTGATGCAGTTTTATTTAAAAGCATAGCTTTCTATGAGCCGGCTCACTCATGCAATAGAAAATTTGATGCGCGGGAACTCAGTACAAATTGTATTTGAAATTTATTAGCAAAGAAATTGTGATGGCGTTATTGGCTTATCTTAATTGCCAGTACGTTTTATTATTAGCACGCAAATATGCTTGGCACATACATTATTTTAAAGATTAAATATGAGTAAGTATTTAAAACCAGGACATATATTTTTGATAAAAGTTAAAGTTCAGAACTAAAAGCAAAAATAAGAAACAAAAACTGGTTAAAGGCCAATGTCATAATATAATCCTGCATTATATTGAATCTATCCAAATTATTAGTTTTTAGTTCAAAATGTTATTTCATTAAAATGTATGAATTGAAGGCGTAAGCCGTTCGGAATTACTTCTGGCGAAAGTTGAGTTACTTTAACTGATGTTTCTGCTCTCAGTCCGTAGACTATTAAAGCTTCATCGGACGCAGAACTAGTGGTCAAGCCAGAACTCACGAGCTTGATATGGCCCTCCACGTTGGGTAAGGCCGCGCATGTGGGCGTTATTTTAACGGGTGGCTATTTCTCGTATGTCTTAATCTATGTGGTAGGGCCACGCAGCAGCCTCGGCTGTTGCACGAATGGGCAGGCCCGTCCGGATAAATACCACGACGTCACAGAAGACCAGCGTAAAGTAGAAGTATGACAAATACTTTTGCGTTTCGTCTGGTGAGTGAGGTAGCCGGAGCCCAATTTTCAAAAGGTTGTCAACGCATCTGTAACCCTCGGGTGTGGCAGATGTCCATGGGCGGCGCTATTCACTTAACATCAGGTGAACCGTCTGCTCGTTTGACAACTTTTCGCATAAAAAAAGATATGGAAAATGCCATTCTGCAGGCGAAAGTAATCGGAAAGGATCGGTTCGCTGTTTTGCTCTAGCGTCCTGTTTGGGCGGGTTCAGGTTCGGCACTCTCTACACGGCTTGTGGAGAGAGTGTTCTCAACTCGATAACGAGGGATAGCTGGAGTTCTGGTGGTCTGGTAGCCTGGTTTATTCGGCTTGCGTATGCCGGTAGCTATGGTGATGAACCGGTGGTGGCGTTTTGACAATCAATAAGTAAGTAATTTGAATGCCTCTTTTCAGGTATCTTGGAAGGAGCAATTGGGAAACGTATTGAAAGTTCTCGCCAGTAAACCGATTAGCGGGCCACGAAAGGCTTTCAAAACTTTATTTCTTATATTATTAGTTATTACTTAATTATAAAATAATATCCTTGATCTCTTCTGGTGTCACTGTATTCAAAAGGCTACCTGCTGATGGTAACGCAGCCCTATCTCCGATGACGCGATCCACCTCCACTTCGAGGCATATGACCATTGATGATAGGTGCATGATGGTTGTATGTTTTTGTGTATTATTAAATTGCTATACCTTAAATAAGACATTCTTTGCACAGTATTGTGTTGGTTTTTGTCTAACATAGAACTGCTATTGTTAACTTTTCCTTAATAATATATATATGATTCCTTCTACAGTACCTATATGTGCTTCTGTAATGATCGTTTAATATATAACAATAAAAATAAACAATTTCATATCAGTTACGTCTATTGACTAGAGGACTTCTAATATTATATAGATACCATTTTCTCATAATTTTACGAAAAGACGTTTTATATTAAAGTTATTATTATTAAATTTTAAAACATTATTAAAACTTCAAGTTAAGACCGATGTGATATCAAAAGGTAGATAAAAAAACTGGTTTTTGATTAAAAACTCAAGAAGCATTAAGCTGTATGTCACATTTTTAAGACAAATGATATTATTGCACTCGTTTTTTACGTCTTCATTAACAACCTATCATGTCGCCTTAACTTGGACAACATAAATATACCTCATTTCGGACTTTAATGTCCAGAGTTACGTGTTATTTATTGCATAAAGTTTTGCTCTCATTGGGACATATATTTGTTTTTAAACGGGCTTGTTTTTATAATTCGGATCGTAATGAGCATTTGCGAACGACCGTCGCCATCTTTGATTTGTTTTCGCGGCCAAAGTCCCGCAAACAGAATCCGGCTCGTTTAACTTGACCCGGCAATCATACTTTATAATATTTTTAATAACAATTTAAACAAAACCTAATTAGTTTTTTTATGTTTTTGTATTTATTTTTTTAAATCTTCTTTGATGATACTATATTCTTAAATTAGTTTATCTCGCAAATTAAAGTTTAAAGAGCCGTGGAAGCTCAGTGACCGGGCGCGTGCAACTTAAGTCGAAAACCAAGTTGCCGTAACTGATGCAAGAGTAATTTTAATTGATTATTTACCACGTGTTCGATGAAGGAAAGCCTTGTGAGCCAGCATAACTTTGAAATATTAAGTAAAACAAGTGTTTTAAAGATATGTGAAATATTGTCAATCAACCCAGTGGGTGCGTGAATATCCACATACTATTGCTCAAGTTATTTTACATCTCATAATCAGGGATCACTTTCATTACAATTCTGTAGTAACATATCTTTTGTATAATATTTGACTATTAATATTTAAACCCAGGATTCAAGACCTAATTAAATTCAAGAAATACTTGATTCTGATGATCCAATGTCTAAATATTTGTACACATTTATACGGATCACGAACCGTGAGCAAATATGAACGAAATAAATACATGTTGGTACCTACATAAATTACGATACATGTGAAATCGTAAATTATATTTTAACAACGAATCGGAGTCTTCCGGGTAATATGTGTGCTATTTTTTTTCAAACGCATGGCAACAGTGATCAGCTATCCTGATGGTAAATGAGGGCTCCCGTCAATTTACTCTCCTACTCCAGAGATGTGCCCGGCGTGTTGCCAACTACCGAGTGTTGGTCTACAGAACCTCCGCTAAGAAAAAAAATATTTTACCTGACACCGCTCTGTGAGACCATGGTACTTCCTCAGTGAAGCTAGCCTATTCGCCATGTGTAATCATGTTGTTTATCTTCTAAACGTGCCTCTCCAAATTGAAAGTTAGCTGCCAGCTCATTAAAGCCTTTCTTCCGTACCGCCTCGCAGAATAGCTTAGCTACGTTAGCTATCCCGGTCCATTGTTGTCTTACCATAATGAAATCGGAATACATAGACGTTGTATACACCACGGGTGCAGTATTAATATTTCAACTGGCTAACCGGGCCCGAGAACATTAATGTAACGTGATCGAAGCTATTAACTCGGTGGGCCAATTATACCTTGTTCTATCTAGTCAGTGCCGAGATCGTTCCTCGAGCGGCGTAATATCATCATTTAGCCGATTTAAATTTTTTAATTTCCCAGGACAATCAACAAATTCTAGAAAATAAACTTAAAATACATACATTTCTTTCAGTCGTTTTTAAAATATAGATACCTTTTACATTCACCTCTATCTATAACATCGGTCCGTGAAAAAATATTTACGTTATTTAAAATATATGTATAGTAGTTCAGATATCATTAGCACTAATTATAATAGCGACGACAAAGATAGTTAATTTATATAATTAAATCAATCCCTTATAACTATTATCACGGGGCATTTCCTTAGCATATTTTTACAAGTCAACTATCTAATTACGACAAAGATACAAATTTACAATAATCGTACAACCTACTACCGTATTTATTGGACTTGGGTGCTTTGGCCATACTGGTCGTTATAACATGTTATAAGACCTTATTCTCGAGTACTTATAGTTACAGAGATATAGTCGAATTGAAAAATAGGTAAAGATAAGTAAACATAAAAGTGTGCACGCTCGTTGTGATGTATTGTATAGTTCCTATGAAAGAACCCACAAGTTTGTTCGGTAGATTAATCTATCGTCCAAGGAACAGTTCGTGTCTCACAAAACACTTATAAATTACGAAAGCCTGTCATAAATCACCGTAACAATGCCGTTGACGAAAATGTCAACTGCATGGCGTTACATAGGTATCGAGTCCCTCGAAATTTACAATATCCTACAAACAATGCTCAATGCCATTGCTCCGTCAAATATAATAAGACAGTTCCCGCATGCGGCACTGTGTTTAGGGAAAATATACAACATGCCGTAAAGCATTCAACTAAACAGCGGTCTTTGTTAACAACTGTGTTGTTTTTACTTGGACACGACAGAAACGTGCAACATTAATTCTATTGTTACCCGCAACTTTGTGCACGCTTCCTAAATTAACTCTTCACTTACTGTCTTGTAAAATCCTGCTCCAACGGACGGCTGTCATAAAATAGTATGAATTTAGAAATGATCTCTTGATTATAGTCGATTTAATTTCTCTTAATAAGCGTATTGCGAAGGCGTAGTTTTGCGCTTAAGTAAACTTTTCATTCCACGCTAATTACTTTAAAGGGAATTTTAAAGTTATCAATGTGTCACCGAAGGCACGTAATAGAAAAAACGAACAAACGATAAATATAACTTTGAACACATTTTTCGTCATGCAGTTTCATATTTTGCGTCGAAAGAAAAGTTACCTAAGCGCGGTGCGGTCAGTACGCGGCTGCGGCGCCCGAGTGGTGCATCAGATGGTGGTGGTGGTACGTCTCCTGCGTGGGGCACCACCACTCGGGTACGGCGTGGGGCACCGCCGGCGTGGGCTGCTGGAACTGTGCCCAGTGGCCGCCGAAACCGAGCTTGTTGTCCATCGCGCCGTTGCCGCCGATGTTCGTTAGGTGCGGCTGGCTGTGGTGGGGCGGCGGGGGCGGGCGCTCGTACGACTTCTGGTCGTGAGGGTTCAGGTACTTCTCGTTGAGGCTCTCCAGCTTGTCGGTGATGGTGGGGTGGTGCGGGTGGTGGGCGGGCGCGGGGGGCGGTGGCACGGGCGCCGGTGGGCTGGCGGCGCCGGCGGTGACGCTGACGCTGCCCGCCGAAGAGGAATCGTCGCCATCGCTGTCGTAGCGCGGCGAGCTGTCGCCCGCTGCGCCGTGCACCTTCATGTGCTTCCGCAGCGAGGAGGGGTGCGTGTACGACTTGTCGCAGCCATGCACCCGACAGTTGTACGGCTTGTCCGACGTGTGAACGTGCGAGTGCTTCTTCCTGTCCGACGAGTTCGCGAAGCGCCGATCGCAACCCGCGTACTCGCATTTGAACGGCTTCTCACCTGCGCAATCGGAGGCAAAGGTCAGTATATATTCTTTCTTAAGTCGAATGCCTTAGTTATAAGCGCAATCGGTGGGAAAGGGCAGTCTTTTTTGTTATTAAGTGAAACGCTTTAGCTATAATCGAATGTTAGTCAATTATATACGGTGGTAGGGCCACGCAGCAGCCTCGGCTGTTGCACGAATGGGCGGGCAGGCTCGTCCGGGTAAGTACCATAACCTCACAGAAGGCTGGCGTAAAGTGGAAGTATAATACTTTCTCGTTTCGTGTGGTGAGTGAGTTGGCCGGAGCCCAATTTTCAAAAACTTTTCACATGAAAAAGAAAGAAAACGCTACATGCACATCATTATATATTTTATTTCTTAAGTCAAACGCTTTAGTTATAACCATGTGTTAGTCAAATAGTTCTCAGATAGAAAACGCTACATGGACAAATGCTGTTGGCGTCGTAATTGAAACGAAATGTAAAAATCAATAGTAGAATTAGTAGCAGGAGCTGCAGATGCAGTTAGCTCTGAGGAAATTAATTTTCAGTCGACACGGGCAATATGCACTCATTTTTTTTGTCTCTCTGTTGATTACTAACAAAATGGTTAGTCTTTTTGATTTTCACTGAACAATTACTCTTCTTCGTAATACAGAATTAAAGGGGATCGAAGGATTCCAATGCGAATGTCCAATCACGCTATAAATAATCAGATTTGCTCGTTGTTTATAGTTTACGAGTATAAATAAATATTCCCAACAATTGCACGGGATACTTAACAAGACCATAAATCATCTTTATAAGACGACTTTGTCACATCGCAGCAACAAAGCCGAGCTTTTGTTACAACGAATAAGGTATATTGTACCTTAACGGGTGGACAAAAGACATGTTTTCATTTAACACGCGATTGTGCTTTGACGTTTCGTTACGAATTGGTCTTCACCAAGACTGTACAATGACAAAATCTTAGTGAACAATTAAAAGGATAGCATTACAACCTGCATATGCTGGATAAAGAGATTTCTCTTGACAAACTAAGTTGTGAATACTGGGAGGTATTCACAACTTAGATTGTAGAGTGTTGTAGAGCGAATATTACTTAAGTTATCGTGATCGTACGATTTCTTTGTAACTCGTGAAATTCTTAAGCGTTTAGATGACATGCCAAAACTTTAATGAAAGTAGTAATTTCGAGTATTCCTCAAATGTATTTTCCATATCTCTAGTCCAACGTACACGGTAGAAATGTTCGTGTGCCCTGTGCCCAACGAAGTACAGTTTTTGAAGAAGTTTTCTAAGCTAAAGACTGGATGAGATGGATATATGGATATATGGATGGACTGATGGAGATGGATATATGGGAACGAGTAGAGCTCATTCAGCCTATAACATAAATATATTCAACGTTTTCGACGGTACATGTCATCAGGACATTGCGTTTGAGTTCACGAATGCGCCTCTGCGGTTTGTTTGTACGGTTTTCATATTGTTAAGATTAATTCATAGAAGAATCTTTTTGTCTGCGATTTTACCTTTACGAAAACTCTACCAACCTACTAGCTCCCTATGTGCGTTTGTTTTTCATTACTTGTTTATTTTAATTTCTTTCCTGGAAACTGACATTCGCAAAGAAAATTTTAATTCGTCTGAATTATATAAAATTGAATTTACTGAGGCAATCGCTTTAACATGATACAGCATAAAATTCTATCTATCGTCTTGAATCTGCGCCAAATATCATTGTTAGCAACAGCTTTGTACGTCAGTGGAGAATTCTAATAATTCTTCTTTTTTTCACATATATTGACAGCTTCCCACATATTGCGGTTGTATCCTTCACGGGTTCACCGAATCGTACTCGATATGAATAACATTGAATAAAATATAGTACAAGTAAGCAGGCGTTCCGCCGGCATGGTCGCGCGGACAACAAAACGCTTTTCTTTGTCATGTTTACAAATAAACCTCTTCGGTTGTAATCCCCCTCATTGTGTTCATGCTTGAAGATCGCGTTGAGGAGGCACAGATGCTAATCTCAAGTGTCCGTTAACGCGGCAATAATGGGGACCTTTAGGAGTTCCCTTGCCGCCGATTTTTGTTACCTCGCCTCGGCTCAATGGAAGGATCGAACATTCGACGGCTCATCCTGAATTGTGATACTTCCTTTCTTGCATTATGACATTCGCCACTAAATATTTGTTGGTGTAGTACACTGTAATTGAAGCCGCAAATACAATGACGCGGTGGAGTACCTGCTCACACGTGTGCCGAACTCGTCGAGTAAGCTCTCGTGGCTTTCGCTCAAAGGGAGCGTAACGCGTAAAACAATTGTTGGAACGACAACATACGTTCCGGTATTCCGTTGCGAACGATAAAAACGCCTCGGTGTGGAGCCCTTACAAACTCGAAACAAGATAAAGGAGTCAAAAACATGTGTCGCCCGTCTAATTACTAATCTTCTCATCTCGATCCGTGTGACAAAAAAGGATCGGACACCAACGGTATTAGAATGGGATTGGTCGCGCGCACGTGCTCTGAAGCAGTTTCTTTTAAAATAGTTTGTGTCATTAGAAGGCAGTGGTAAAATCGGCGCAATCGGATAATAAACACGGTTATAGTGTTCAAAAAATATTAAAATTAACAAATATTCTTGATCAGAAATTATTTCCGATACGATAATAATTATGAACGATTCATATTCTGTTTCTTCTTTAACAAAAACGTGTTGTTTCCGGTCGGATTTGTAATTGCAATGTTATGAAATTTTTTTAATGTATATATAACTATATTTTATACCAAAGTTTAGCTTGTATTTGATATGGCCTAACTGTATTAGTAGGAACCATATTTGCTAAAAAGGTATAGTTAATAATAAAGGTTTGTTTAATAAAACAATTTTTACAGATATCATCGCCTCCATAGTGCAACAATGTTTAGCAATCGTACGAATGCAAGAATTCGTTATATATGTGTACAACTGTACACACACGAAGGCGTATAAACGCACAGAGTGGCACAATACATTAGCGAAAATATTTGACGGGGCAATAAGAGCAAAAGGAAAACACAAGTGGGGAATGCACATCGTGATTTCGTTGCCGGGCGACTCAGGACACGGGCTAGGGTCAGATGTTTATCTTAAACGCCTGTATCACCCGCGGGAGACACTTTTTTGTAACGTTATAATCGATATCGGAGGCGAGATCGTCCCTGTGTGCGTTTATAAACGCAATGGCCCTTGTGATTGTTTGTTTGTTTAGAGTCACACGGCTGCCTAACGAAATACATAACTTTGGAGCAACGTTAACAATTATGCTTTTCACAACAGATGTCCCTACGTGGAACTTCAATAGCATGGATTTATTTAATGATTTGTTGTTATTTAAAGTATTATGTTGTAAATAAAACTATTTTATTGTTATCTTATCTATTTTAACAAAAACAAGTCAGTCTCTCCCGTGACTATGGATATTATAAAGTATTTGAAACGTACGGTGATGTACCTATCATCTCTGTGTCGTCAAATATGGCGGAGTTTTTGCATTCGATTTTGATTTGGAGCTTATAGGACCTTGGTAACTCAGAGTTCAGGAGCTCGTATTTTATTTGGTATAGTAGTACTCGAGCATCCTGAATCCAAATCCTGTTGCTCAACCATTAAAATTCTTATTTTTATTAATAATTGTATTATTACAAATATTAATTAATTACTTATTAAAAACGTCTTGTATTTTATCCTAATACCCTAGGACTAGAGGAGGCCTAGGAGGTACAGCAGTAGGTCCTATATATTCGTATGTATATGCTTTTTTTTATTTACTTATCTTTTGACTTGACCATGTAATATTGAGCATTTCAATAAAACTGACATTTATTTGATTGGAAATAGCTGTTTGTCAGTTGAAAAATTATTAGAAATAAATTATTTTTTTTAAAACAAAAAACAAGATAGCAAAGTAACAAACAGAATAATTACTTTTAAAATATTAACGTAGACCTTGCACTTAAAAGATCTCCGGAGCTGACATGAGTGAAATGTCAGTCTAGTCCATTGTACAAATTTATTAAACATCTTAACAAATTTGGTCAAATGGCAAGCAATTTTTAGTGAGCGCGTGGATGATATAAGTTGAACATAAATTTCAAAACGATAAATTTCAAAAAGTGAAAACTCGTTTAGAACCGGTGTCTTGATTCGGATTCAGACTACTAAAACACGACCATCACGGCTTCCTATAAAGGTAGAAATCTCGGAAAACTATTAATATGTATATTTGAGACATCGGTTTCCGCTTTTATACCAAAGGCAAGGCTGTATTTCCCTGAATCAAATGTAGGTCTTGGCATGTAAGGCACACAGATAGTCTTAAGTTTTTAAAACACGCCTAGATGGCGCTAGGTGTACATATTTACTAGGGGCTTTTCGTTCAAGCAGATGTCATCCACGAGTACAAGAATTATTATTTAATGACAATATAATGACAATCATCTTTATTTTACGCACAGGTTCATTATATGAAAGTAATACGCGTGTCATCGTGTATATGACACGATGACACGCGTATCCATTATGCGGTATTCTATTTTTTTGTTTTAAATGTGTGTTAATTTTTATTTAGATAATTAAGATGATGAGATTATTATTTAATTAAGATGGTGTGTCTAACTTTAGACATTTTAGATAAGTTTTATCGATCTATATATATATATATATATATATATATATATATATATATATCGATTTAGCCTACTTTATCGATCTATTCGTGGTTTATTTTGGACTTTAATATCCGCACTGGATGTGATAAACTTGAAAAAAAAGTGTAACAGTCGTTTTATTGATAACTGTGGGTAAAATATTCGCGAGCATTTGAGAAATCGTACTTGTGTCTTTTGTGATTTTGTAAACTTAAGAGAAGCGAGCTCCCGCTCTTGGCAGACCGCCTAGTCCGAATTACTGCGGTTTCATATTACCGATCGCTGCTAAGTGAGTTCCGCTGTGAAAACACACTTTTTAGAAATAGCACGGGCCGATTTGTAACCCGACACGGTGCAGGCTACGCGCCCAAATTGTGTAAATGGCGTTAGTTGAGTTTACAGAGAAAACAACGCTTCAACGGGTGTCGTGTTCAACGGAACGTTGTAGTGTCGAACGTATTGGGCGGCTGCGATTCGTATTCGGTTTATGTACGTTACGCTTATTTCTGAGACTGGTAAGGATACGCAACAACTTTTGCTGTTGCACTAATAAGGCAAGCTCCTAAGGGAAAGTACCGCACGTAGAAGGCACGCAGTAGTATTAAATGTCTTTGGGTAAACGTTTTTCATGAGCTATATTTTTCAAAAATTAATTTTTCAAAAATTATTACTTTTCAAAATTTAAGTCTAAACTTTATATAAACAAAAATGTCCTGGTTGCCACTCAAAAAACTAAAAATAAGACGTAAATTAAAAATAACATAAAAGTTATTATATTTTGCAATTATTTTGGATTCGTACTTAATATTTTATCAAAATATTTTTCTCATGCTCATGCTCATCATACACGTACACAAGCTGTCACAACATTAATATCAGACAGATTAGAAAGAAATGACCGAGCGTGACGGACTTGGTCATTCTGCCCCGGGCATAAATTCATGATTTTTAAATGATTCTGTGTTCTACAACATAAAACATACGCGATAGATTATGTTTAATTAAAAGAACAAATCCATTTGAATTAAATTCATAACAACAGAACTGTTGTAGACGTTTTTTAAACTTTTTAACAGAGTTTTCTAAACTTAGAAAAATGCCTCGAATATAGCCAGACTTAATGCCAGAGGCATTTTAACCAGTTAAGTAAATGTGGATTAATGGGAAATTAACTTTATATCGAACAAATACATATGTTAAAAAGCATTACGAAACAATTTAAACGCCCTTGATCGTAACAAGAGGAATCGGTATTGACTGAAATGTTTATTGCATTGTTTTAATCGCTTAATAGCCGATGCAGAATGGGGCGCATCGGAGTTAATTCAATCCGGGACGGACAGGCGGTTAATGAGCGGCCGATGACTGGCCGAACGCCGACACAATCGGCCAACTTGTCCGACACGACCGCCCGACGGCCGACCCACTAAACTAATCTCTATAGTAAATTGTTAACAGCCAAAATTGATTGTGTATCTGACGCGCCGCACGATCTCGGACAACGAGTTCGACTCTTTTAACAATCTGAAAAGGTCACATCGCTTTTATAAACGCGCGTTTACAATTAAGACGCGTTCGAATTGATTGATTGTTATTAGATTTTAAAAGTTTAATATTTTAAGCATGTACAACGTTGAATGTTACGTCAATAAGTTGGACATAAAACCTATTAACGGCGATTCCAATACGTTGCCGAGCCAAAGATGTCAAAGCTTCGTATTTGTTGATGGACAAAGTTCCCCGAATTCTTACCTACGTCCGATTATTTAAAAGGCATTCGTTGCGAGTGCTCCATGATTTATAGCAGTCCCCTTTATCCGTAACGCATTTGGTATTGGGGAGATATATTAATATCTTCATTTTTTCCACTTCACGAAGAATACGGGCCCTTGTGCAGCGGGCACAAAAAGAACGCGCGGCCGGGGCGGCGCGTTCGGCGCCCAACGGGCGTGTGACAACGTGCTTTATGCGGACGATTATGAGCGGACCGAATAATGTTCCGAGACCCGATAAATATCTGCCAACTCATACAAAAGAACCCCAATAAAAATATAATAGTAAACGTAGCAACACTAGCCGCGAACTGCGCAGTCATGTCCCGACGGTGGATGCTCGGTGTTAAACGAAAACGCACGCGAGGGTAAAGTGTGCGTCGATGCCGTTGCCGAAAGTGAAGCTAAGAATAAATGGTTTACGGACGCACAAACCCATAGTGTTCAATTAGCATTAAATGCGTTCATTAGTGAAGTTTAGTCTTAAACTCTTTATTAATAACACTACATGATACAATAAACAAATGTTGACGCGAACTTCTTGGTTTTGCTTTTAAGACTGATTTTTATAACCTATTCAGGTTTTTATTAATGACTTGTAAAATGTTCATATTATAATATGCATCCTCACTCAGCACCACATTTAATATGATTCAGTTCTCATAACTGACTAAA